AGACTGAAGAACAAAAGGACAGCAACTTGTCTGTTCCCCTTCCCTGATTCCCCAATGCTGTTCCCCTCCCCCAATTCCCCAATAAAATCTTTTAAAAGAAAAATTGAGAGGAATATTTCAACTGCAGAGATCCCCCTCTGGAGGAGTGAGGAGTTCAGCTCCACACCAGGTGACCCAACCCAGTGTTTCAATTCTGGGAAGAGAAGTCCCCATAACTTCTAGCTCTGAAAACCAGCGGAGATTGCAGCTAAGTGAGACCTATGGCGGCTGCACTCCCAGACGCTCCTCTTAAAGGGACCACACACAGACTTACTCACCATTGGAATCACTGGCTCTAAGCTCCAGCGCTGAGGCACCAACTGGAGAAGCAACAAGGACATATTGGGAGTGGGGTGGGGTGGGAACTGCACTGTCTGGCTTCACGGCAAGGGTTGAGAGGGAAGCTTTCTCCCAGATGGAAGAGCTTGTGGAAGCCTTGTTTCTTTGTTGATCCCTCCCCCTTCTCAGTGTGCAGACACAGGTGACTGCCATAGCTGAGTCTCCATCAACCTGGCTAATACTGTTCGTTCACCCCACCTGGTGATGCTGAGACCCCGTCCACCCAACTTTTGGGCACACCCAAGTTGCTTCCAGTGGTTTTTCTGTACAAACAGCCTGCCTTGGCTCATGCCACATACTTTCATAAAATCTCTCAAAGGTTCACAAAACCCGAACAAGCAGAATCCGGCTTCAGTGTGTCGCATACCTATGGCTGAGCAGCCCTAAGACCAGCACTAGCAACAGCCAGCACTGGTTCATGGCTTGGCCTCTCGAGGCCCCTCCAAGCATAGTGCAGGCGGTGGCCATCTGTGGATTGCTTGTGGCTGATTGCAGGTGGCTCCAGGCAGGGCACAGGCTGTGGCTGAACTTGAAGCGCAGCGGGTCCCTTCCCAAGAGGCCCTGGGGCTGGCACACCCCATAGCCAGCTTCCAACTAAGTTGGAGCATCACCTGGCTACATC